TTCAAAAACCTCTGGTGGAAGAGAATTAATGACCCAATCACCATCAAATGTAACAAAATCTGAATTAGACGAATTGTTTTTAATCCAAAAAGAAATAATAAATGAAAATAAATAAATAAATAACAATTTATAAATAAGAACCAATAAACTTTATTTCTAAATCTAATAACTTTATTCAAATTGTTTGTTTTAAATTTTTATATATATAAAAATAATAGAAAGTAAGAACATACAATAAACATAAATAATAAACTATGGTATATTTATTGCTCATAAAAAATATTATTTTTTTTTTAAATTTTTTTTTTTAAAAAATATTATCCATTTATAAAATTTACCAATAAATATTTTTTTAATTTTTTAATTTTTTTTTAATAGAAATTTTTTTTTTGATAATCCATTTTATTTTTTTTTAAAAATGGAAAAAAAGTAAGAACAATACAATAAATATAAATAATTAATTAAAGCATATAAATTAATTTTTTTTCTCTTTTACTATTTATTATAGATTATTTTTTAAAGTTTGGGATAATATATATTTAAGAAATCAAATTCAAAACCATATTTTATTGTTTAATAAATATAGTGTTGCAAATTTTGGTGATAGATCCCTATATGACCAGTTTAAAAATAAATCATATATAACAAAACTAGATTGGTTTGGTTTACTACCAGATATAAATGAATTACCACCATTTTTGTCAGTTTTAACATTTAACAATCTTATAAAACACAATGATCTTCAATTATTTAAACCAGGCTCATTACCAAATAGTCTCACAACACTCACACTCGGTCATCATTTTAACCAAGTAATAACACCAGGCACATTACCAAATAGTCTCACAACACTCACATTCAGTTATTATTTTAACCAAGTAATAACACCCGGCACATTGCCAAATAGTCTCAAAACACTCATTCTCAGTCATAAATTTAACCAAGTAGTTACACCCGGCTCGTTTCCAAATAGTCTCACAACACTCACATTCGGTCATGATTTTAACCAAGTAATAACACCAGGCACATTACCAAATAGTCTCACAAAACTCAGACTCACATTCGGTCATGATTTTAACCAAGTAATAACACCAGGCACATTACCAAATAGTCTCACAACACTCACATTCGGTCATGATTTTAACCAAGTAATAACACCAGGCACATTACCAAATAGTCTCACAAAACTCAGACTCGGTGGATTTAACCAAGTAATAACACCAGGCACATTACCAAATAGTCTCACAGCACTCACATTCTATAATAGATTTAAACAAGAAGTTAAACCCGGCTTATTACCAAAGAGTCTCACAACACTCACATTCGGTGAAAGTTTTAACCAACTAATAACACCAGGCACATTGCCAAATAATCTCACAACACTCACACTCGGTGGTTTTAACCGACTAAACCCAGGTTCATTGCCAAATAGCCTCACAACACTCACATTTGGTTATTATTTTAACAAAGTAGTTAAACTAGGCGTATTGCCAAATAGTCTCACAACACTCACGTTCCGTGAAAGATTTAACCAAGTAGTTAAACTCGGCTCATTACCAAATAGTCTCACAACACTCACATTCGGTAGTGATTTTGACCAAGTAATTATACCCGGCTCATTGCCAAATAGTCTCACAAAGCTCACATTCGGTTATTATTTTAACCAAGTAGTTCTACCAGGTTCATTGCCAAATAGTCTCACAACACTCACATTCGGTTATTATTTTAACCAAGCAGTTCTACCTGGCACATTGCCAAATAGTCTCACAACACTCACATTCGGTGAAAGTTTTAACCAAGAAATCACACCCGACTCGTTACCAAATAGTCTCACAACACTCACATTCGGTAAGAATATCAACCAAGTTAAACCCGGCTCATTACTAAATAGTGATGCCAACAATTGGTTACAATCATCACTTGAAACTTTAAATATAGGTGATCAATCAATTAGCATTAAACAACAAAGTGAAAACTAAACCAATAATAGCAAACACTAAATAACTCTTTATTCAAAAGTTTTATTCAACAACAATAACAACCACTGCCACTGCCACTGCCACTGCCACAACTACAACTACAACTAATTCGTCTATTATCAAATTAACAATTAAAATTATCCATTGCTAATGGTGTAATAATTTCCAAAAATTCTTTGAAACATCTTTCTAAAGTCATATGAACTATACCAAATAAAAAGAAACTTTTTTTTTCAGTGCTCTGCATTTGCACAAATTTATTATATGGTTTAAATAAAATATGTATAATTTTTTAACTGAGCCTGTTTAAAAATTTTTTTAAAAACCATTCTGGTCATATTTGTATATATATAAATTTATATACTACAACAATCTTTAAATAATGTATCTATTTAATTAATTATTGATTTATTAATTTGATATAATTATTTTATTAAATTGTTATTGTAAAAAAGGTAATAAACGAAAGGTCTAAAGAAAGATATTATTTTCATTTTTTTTATTTATTTTTTTTTTAAATTTTTATTTTTTTTTTTTTTCAATTTTTTATTTTTTTTTTTTTTAAAATTTTTTTTTATATTTTTTTAAAATTTTTTTTTGATTTTTTTTTTTTTTATAAATTATTATATATTGTGGTGTAAATTTTATTATAAATATATATAAAATTAATTTTGTATATATTCTTTTCATTTAAAAATGGTAAGTTGTCTTTTAATTAATTAAACAAATGTTTAATTAATTTGTTAAATAATTTTAAAGATTACATATTAATAGAAATATCTAATTTTTAATATTATTGGCCAAACTCTAGAATTTCTTTAGTAATAATTTTGGTACACCATGCAATATAGAATTCCAATTAGATAATTGTCAAAATAGAAAGACTATCGAAGTCGCACAAGAAAAAGGTAAAACTGAAAAACTTTTTATCTTTGTTGGTAATGAACCAGTATCTGGTAAAGTTTCAATTGCTTTAAAAGAAAAAACAAAGAAGATTGAACACACAGGTATTAAGGTTGAATTTGTTGGTCAAATTGGTAACTATTAAATATTAAATTATAAAAAAAAAAAAAAAAACTTCCTCTAATATCACATCATATATAGAATTATTTTATGACAGAGGTAACCATTATGAATTTACATCATTGGTTCGTGAATTAGCACCAGCAGGCGAATTAACAGAAAATAAAGAATTTACATACGATTTCTTAAATGTCGAAAAACAATACGAATCTTATAATGGTACTAACGTTCGTTTAAGATATTTTGTAAGATTAACTATTGGTAGATCATTTGGTACTAATATTGTCAAAGAATATGATATTTGGGTCATCAATTTCGAAAAACCACCAGAAATTAACAGCAATATTAAAATGGAAGTCGGTATTGAAGATTGTCTCCACATTGAATTCGAATACAATAAATCAAAATATCACTTAAAAGACGTTATCATTGGTAAAATTTATTTCCTTTTAGTAAGAATTAAAATCAAATACATGGAAATCGCTTTAATAAAGAAAGAGTCAACAGGTTCAGGACCAAACGTTTTTAATGAAAGTGAAACCCTTACTAAATTTGAAATTATGGATGGTGCACCAGTTAGAGGTTAGTATATCATTATCATTATAATAATTTAAACAATCATTGAAAACTAATTTTTTTTTTTCAATAGGTGAATCAATTCCAGTTAGACTTTTCTTATCAGTTTTTGATCTTACACCAACTTATAAGAGCGTTCACAATAAATTCTCTGTTAAATATTCACTCAATCTTGCTCTTGTTGATGAAGACGATAAGAAATACTTTAAATCACAAGATATTTATTTATGGAGAAGACCACCAACCAAATCAATTGAAAATAAACCAGCAACCACCACTACCACTACCACAACCACTACTAATACACTAGAATAAAACAAAAACTTATATTTAGAAAATCATAAATTATAAGATAAAGATTTAAAAAAAAAATAAAAAACAAAAAATAAAATAATATAATTTTAATAATAAAATAATAGCACAATAACAACTAATAACTAATGGTAATAATATTAAAAGTTATAACAAATAAAAAAAAAAAAAACTATAAATATTTTTTTTTAAATTAAGTTTTCTTTTCTTTTTTATTTTTATTTTGTTAGACTAGTTATTTTGGATTAATTTTGAAACAAAATTAGTTTTTAATTCGAAATCGTCAAAAATACTTAATATCATTAATCTTAATTCGTTATTTGTTAATTTGTTCAAATGGCCATTATTATAGAGCGCAACGATTTCTTTGAGAGGCAATTCTAGAACCATTTTAATTTGCCACAATTTCTTCCAACTCTTGACCAACTTCATTCTATTTTTGTGTAAATCTTCAGACTCGCCAGGGAACAAAAAGAATTTGATGAATACTGGATATAATGAAAGAATTAATTCGGAAAGACGTTGGGTTTCTACCATTTCGATGTTTTGAAGCTTTAATATCATTTTAATTATGGTTGATATAATTGATTCTGAGAACTTTGAAATCAATTCAAAGTAAACTTCTCTTGGGAAATTCTCTTTCCAAATATTAGATAGTCTATTTAGTTCGTTATTCATATTTGTAATATTGGTTTGAATTTTTTGATAGGTGTTGTTATCTTTGGTATTTTCTAATTGGTTGCAATAGTCTGTTAAAAATGATAAAATCCATTTCAATTGCTCTTGAATATATTTACTAAAAAAATCTTCACCTAATTTTTTAAACTTTGGTGAAAAATCTATAAATGTATATAGTTTGAATTCTTTACTATTGTGATTGTTATTGTTATTGTTATTGATAATTGATTGAAACTCCATTGATAAAACTAAAAAGGAATGTGATAAAAAGGAACAACTGTTATAAAATAATGATGCTAATGATGGTACCTTATCTAATTTCGAAAAATGAAACTTTAAATAAATTGAATGATAAAGTTCAAAAATATCTCTGCAGCCTTGATATAATTTCTTACATCTAATTTATAAAATGATATATTAGTACCAATTTTTAAATAGAGAATTAAATGAGTTAAAATAATTACACTAAATTTGAAGAGTCCAATGCTTCTTTTAAAGCTGAAACACATAGAGTTAGTAGTTGGTGAGTAGATTCAAAGATAAGACAATTGTTAAAGTAATAACCTTGAATTATACCATTATTCTCTTGAAATATACCAAAAATTGAATCATTTGATTGAATAGAGCTATAACGATCTTTAAGAATGATATCTCTGGCTTTTGATAGAAGGAGTGTTCTTTTTCTTTCAGAGTAATGAAATTCTATGTTTTCTACAAATAACGATAAAATCTTTGAATCTTGGTTGTTACTTACCAAAAATCCAATTTCCTCCAATTCTTTTTCAAATGATTTTATACTTTCTTCGATTGCAAGAAATTCTTTCAATTCTTTCAAATCTTTAGGAATTCTAGTCTTTAATAATAAATTTAATAGTAGTGTTGATAATGGACTCCAAATCTCTTTACCTAACTTCACAATATAGTTTTTATTGTTGCCAAAAATATTAATCGAAATAAATTTGAATAGATTTTCTAATAGATGTAAAATTGTTTCTATAAATTTAAAATTAAAATTAGTAATCTCCACATTGCTTTAAAATAGGTTTGTAAGATATCTTACCAATTGTAATATCTTTAAAATTTTCATTTAATTTGAAATGAATTTTAATATCTTCATTATTACTATTATTATTATCTTTATCATTTTTGAGGAATATATTATAAATTTTTTCTTGATTATTATCATTTGGCGGGTTATTAATTAAATTTGATAACTCTATTAGATTTGGTTTTAAAAATGTTTCAAAAAGATTTAAAGAGAATGATGATATTAAAAAATCGAATAAACCTATTGATTCTAAAGATTCTATTAACTTTGTGCAATATAATGAATATAGCTGATCTGGTTTTAATGATTCCTTATTAGTACTATTATGCTGTTGTTGATATTGATAATAAAATTCAATTGAACCCAATGATAACTGAATTTCATTAGAGTTAACTTGAATCGAATGTGTAAATAGTTCTAATAAATTGGTTTTTAAATGATTTTTTCTTTTTTTTAACTGGTCTTTTATTGATGGTAAAATTCTAGGCTGTGGTAACATTGTTGTTAATTCAAATGGTAATATTTTTAATTTTTCGTCTATATTATTATTATTATTATTTTTATTGCTGGGTTTGGCTATTATACACCTATTCATTTCTAAAAGAATTTCATTGGCTGCTATGAATTTTGAATGTTTAATTGCTTCATCATATTTTCTAACAAGCTTTTCATATTGTTCAAAAAAATCTAGTATTTCCAATGTGGTTTCAATGGATGATAATCTTTCTCTAAGTTCTCTATCGTAGGTGACTGTGTTGTCGATTCTTGAAACTATACCATCCTCAATTTTATTTATATCCCTAATGACTTCTTTTTGCTTATTATCTAATGCTTTAATTTCATTTTGAATATTAATAATACCCTTGTTTTTTGTTGATGAAATTTCCAACTCTTCTTGTACAACATTAAATAATGATTTCTAAATAAAATAAAGTATTATTAGAACGTAATACTATATTGCCATTTTATAAAGAATATATAGCTATATTTTACCTTTAACTCAATTAAAATTGATATGATTGATGAAACATTTGATTCTAACTTTTCAGGTTCTTCAAATAAATTGTCGCTATCCTTGTTGGTGTCCTTTAATGTAGGTTTTTTTGATGTAGATTTAAGATTTGGTGATGATAATGTATCTGATTTTACAAGTATAGTATCTATAACATGTCTAATTGATGAGCTATTGTCTGATTTATTATTATTATTGTTGTTGTTATTACTACTATTATTTGTTAAAGTAGGTGATGAGGTTGAAGATGACGACTCATTGTCGTCATTATTCTTTTTTAACAAGTAGTCAATAATCTTTTTATTTGTATTAACTGTCATAACTTTTTATAAACAACCATTTAAGTTCATTAAAAGAAAATAAAAAAATTAAAAAATAAATGAAAATTTTTAAAAATTTAAATTTTGAAAATAAATAAAAAAAATAAAAAAAAAAAAATTAAAGTCAATTGGAAGTCTTTAATTTTTTTATTAATATATAAATACAAAAATAATCAAATAACTCATAAAAGATTTATCATATAGAATATATTATCATATAAAATATAGTGTTTATCAATAAAACCAAATAGTTTTAAAAACTACAATGTAATATATTGTTTTATTTTATTATTAATATTCAACATTTCAATTTTACCCTCTTTTTTATTATTATGATTTATCGTTTATTATTTTTATTATCTTTTTTTTTTTTTTTTTTTTTTTTTTTTAATCCAACTGAGTTTTAATAAAAAAGATATTTTAAAAGATATTTTAATAAAAATAAAACAAAAATTATTATATAACGAAAATTATAATAAAAAAATAATAAAAAAATAAAAAAAAAATAATAAATAAAATAAATTATCAAATAATCAAAACAAAAAATATTTAGAAGCATTTTCAAGAAAGCCTAAGTTGTGGGTTTAGGTGGTTTCTACAAAATCAAATAATAAAAAAATAAAAACAAATTAAAATAAAATAAAAATTAAATAAAAAAATAAATATAATTTAAATTTATTTTTTTTTTAAATTTTTTTTTTTATTTTTTTGATCAATTTATTTTTTTTCTCATAGTTTTTTTTTTTTATTAATTTATTTATTCTCACATTTATCAATCAAAAAAATATAAAGATATAA